CAAGCAAGCAACCACGCAAGCAAGCAAGCAAACAAGCAAACAAGCAAACAAGCAAGCAAGCAAAATAGCAAGCAAGCAAACAAGCAAACAAGCAAGCAAGCAAGCAAACAAGCAAGCAAGCAAGCAAACAAGCAAGCAAGCAAACAAGCAGACAAGCAAGCAAGCAAGCAAGTAAGCAAGCAAGCAAACAAGCAAGCAAGCAAGCAAACAAGCAAGCAAGCAAGCAAACAAGCAAGCAAGCAAGCAAACAAGCAAACAAGCAAGCAAACAAGCAAACAAGCAAGCAAGCAAACAAGCAAGCAAGCAACCAAGCAAGCAAGCAAGCAAACAAGCAAGCAAGCAAGCAAACAAGCAAGCAAGCAAGCAAACAAGCAAGCAAACAAGCACACAAGCAAGCAAACAAGCAAACAAGCAAGCAAACAAGCAAACAAGCAAGCAAGCAAACAAGCAAACAAGCAAGCAAGCAAGCAAGCAACCACGCAAGCAAGCAAGCAAACAAGCAAACAAGCAAGCAGGCAAACAAGCAAGCAAGCAAGCAAACAAGCAAGCAAGCAAGCAACCAAGCAAGCAAACAAGCAAACAAGCAAGCAAGCAAACAAGCAAGCAAGCAAGCAAACAAGCAAACAAACAAGCAAGCAAACAAGAAGCAGCGCCCAGCAAGCCCAAAGGTCTTACCCAATCGAACCTTTGTAGGACTTCGGTCGCAGGACAAGGCTGACGTCCAAGGCCCTTGCATCGGAACGGTTCGCGGCCTGCAGAAGGCGTCAACACCGGGAACTGTTTTTGTCAAATACATCAACCGCCAGTCACAGACATCTGGTGAGTGAATGTGAATTCCACGCTGCTATTCTACCGATAAAACTGTGACCAACAAAACTTGGCTTGATGATGCTTGATGGCTTGCCGGCTTTTTGAATCAAGCCATTTCTCGGGAACCCTGGCATGGGACCCACACTGCTCTCATTCGACACCATCAAACTGGTTGTGAAGTCTTCTTGTTCGAACATCCCAACAGTTAATCCTTCCAAGTGTGACAGATTGAATCCGTTTCCATCAAATCATTGCCGCATCCAAAGACCCTCTGTGAAATCGCAAGAATCCAACGACCTTGGACAGAAAGCCAAAAGAAATATACGGGAACCAGCTGGGACCGTTCGCGGCCTCAGCGGCCTCAGCTGCTTCGACGGCAATCAGACCCTGCGGCGCAGAAACGCTGAATGAAGGTATCAGCAAAACTCAGATGGTCTGCAAGCAACAGAGATCTACTGTTGCAATATGGGCATGTATTTCAATCGGGAGACCTCGCAATGACCCCCTGGCAGAAGGAAACTACACACTCATATGTCGAAATATGTTGAAAAATGTTGAAAGATTAGCACTGTGCAAAGCACTTTTGTCGCACTGGCGAGATCTGTGTAATGTCAGCAAAGGCACACAAGGGCGCCTTCTTTTTCTAGAGTTCATCTTTCTTTTCATTCTTCGTGTCACCAGCCTTGTTCTCTTTGGAACGTGCAGCTCTCGCTGCTTTGGCTTTCTCGAACGCTTTCGCTTGCGCTTCGTCTTCATTCTTCTTTGCTGCATCCTCAACCTCACGGAGAGCCTTCCACTTCTGTGCCATGTCCTCCGCTTCCTTCAGACTATCTGTTATGATGATATTGTCAAAAATGGTGCCTCCCTTAACCTGCCAAACATCAAAGCCGACATAACCGATGTCCGAATATTTGTACAAATCTGGGTCGTCCGAAAAGTCAGGGTTTGGGACAATTCTCGCCTTCCACGTGCCTTTGTAGTCAGGGTTGGGAATCTTGCGGGGAAGCCAGGGCCCCTTGAAGTTGGGATTCTCAATCTTTGGAGCATCCCACTCACCATCTTCTTCGTCATCCCACTCTTCAGGTTTTCCAGCCTTGGGGTCAACCATCATCTTGCTCTCAACCCAGTCTGGTGGTTTCACATCTGCTGGATCCTCCATCATCTCTTCGTCAAGCCAGTCTGATGGCTTCTGGTCTTTAGGATCTGCGATCTCCCGCGGTGGCAGCATCTCCCAATCATCCTTCAGCGAGCCCTCATAGATTTTGTCCAGGTCTACAAGCACTCGTACTGTGTTGTCAGGTTTCAGGTGAAGCGTGTATAGATGCGAGAGCCCCTCCCCTTCTTGTTTGTATGGCAGCTCGGCCTTCTTCAAGAAATTCCTACCGCCATAGCGAAAAATGAGGTGAGTTCGCTTCTCTGCATTGCATTGGTCAGGCCCAAACATGATGTTGTACTTTGTGGAGTCACCAAATTTGGACAAATCCTCTGTGCTGGGGCCCAGTTTCAGATAGCCACCTCCACAGGCCAAGTCTTTTTCATACTTTGCTTGATACTGGACTATAAGCTCCTTACCCTCATTGCTGAAGGGCTCGAAGGAGGCAGAAATCGCATAGAATTTCATGATCTCTGCCGTCTGCAGACCAGCATCTTCCACTTCATCTCTGTACCATTTGCCGGCAGAGGTCTGCCACTTGCCCATCTTTTCGGCATGGCCCTCCTTCCAGGTGCTCAACCTCCACCGCTGTTGCCAGCCCTCTCCAAAAGTCTCGGAAAAGTAGATTTTCCCTTCAATCAAAACTGCAGAGAGCAGCAATCCTCCAAGCATGCCACACATGTGTTCAACTTTCACTGCAGGTGATTTCGACTTATATACTGCAATAGCTCTTGGTGTACGCTAACCACTTCTGTTAGCTGTATCGGCCTCTAGACGCTCGAGGGACCCACTTGAGTCTGGGCAAACATGTGATGAAAATTACACCCATGCTGCAATCATTGTAGTAGCGTATTTCGAAACAAAAACGGCTGCAAAAGAGAATGTGACAACTCTTCTATTTCTGTCTCTTTGCATGGTGAACAGCCAAAGGCTTGTGACATGTTTCCACGGGTCAGAACCTCCAACAACTCGGCTCATGTTAGCATATTCTGAACCACTTCTGTGGTTTTACCAGCCACTTCGAACAACTTGAAGGACCCACCGTGGTGCGCCTGTGCATCCGTAGGCTCTGAGGCCATGCTGAAAAATGGCCGACCACTCGTTGGGGAATCTCCGACCACTCGTCGAAGAACGAGGGCCGGAGGGCCGATCGTCGGGTCTCCGATCGTCGGAATCGGTGGTTGGCTCGTCGGATCTCGGGTCTGTTTCTGGGGTCGGGTCTCGGGAGTCTCGGGAGTCTAGACGGCCCGGAAAACCCTCCACACTGAGAATGGTGGATTGATTTGGTTGGGAGGAAAATGTGGGATGTCCCTGGTCGGTAGCAGAGCACCATGGGCCATGGGCATCTCGCTGAGCCAGAAGGAGGGGAGCAGCATGGTGGCATGGTGCAAAACAAGCTCCGAGATGGTTTCGAGTTGCCATGCAAGCAAACTTTCGGAAAAGCAAAAGACGAATGCCCAATGATTATGCAATGCAAAGCAGCGAACATGCCCAATTGCACAGCAGTCAAGGCGGACCCGTTTTCCCTGCCATGCAAGTTTGAAAAGACCCACGACGGAGAACTCCTTCGATTCATTTGGAGGGACTCACAATCGTAGCCCAGGCGTTCCTACAAATATTTGCTGCTGTCCATTCGGATCTTTTGACTCCTGGCTCACCTTCAGTGAAGCCAAAAAAAGGTCAAAAAGGTCGTGCGCGAAGCTCAATGCAACTTGCAGCTCTCTAAAACCATCAAGCTCGACGTGAGAGAACCCAAGTGACATCACTCCGACGTCTACGGCTACGGCAAATGATGTTAGACCTGAGCTGCTAGTCATCATCGATATTCAGCCTTGGCTCAATTCAGTTTGACTCATGTTTCCTCTGTTGGTTTCGATCTTGTTTGTATGAGTTATACATCACCAACAATCTATCATGGAAACGAAAGGAAGCCAATGTGTAGAAGTCGGTACAAGGACGGTCAAACGGTCAAACGCATGCATGACAATGTGTGTGTGTGTGTGGTAGCTTTATAAAACAATCTCTTCTCTCGTCAGCCAGCGGCTCCTTCCGAGAACTGGTCCTACCCCGCGCGATCAGCGCTGCCTAGAGCCAGCCCTCCTACCTCACTCTTGGAGGCCGCGGCGGTGCCCGGCCACCATGCTTGGGCGGGGTGACCTGGAAAAAGGTACCAAAACACCTTCTTTGGCAGGCAGAACATCATGGTTTGAGGAGATAAACAAAAAAGATCAAAAAAGGAATGCGTGATTGGGTTCCGTATCTCTTTTTGGACTGCTGGAGTGTGCAAAAAGGAGAGAGGTGATTCAAAGGTGTTTTGCGAAGCTGCGAATTCGAAGTTGGCAACATATTCCTCCTGCCTTGGGTACTGGTGGAGCTGCCGGTGAGTCACTCTGCTCCTGGCTGCCCATCACTCCGTCTGCTTCAACTCCGAGACTCCAACCCACCTCTTCATGGGGTCGGCGCCTGGCGAGACTTGGTGGACCGGTCGACCGGTCGACCGTGTTGTTTTTTCACCATAAGGAGGTAGCCATCTGAGCCAGGGTGGCCATGTGGCCATCCTAGGTTCATCTTGCTAGGCTTGAGAAATCAGAAAAAAGATAAACATGCCTATAAGCAGCGCCTTCGTCCGCTGTGGGTGGGTGCTTCCCGAGGTGGCTGCGGGACCTGCGGTAAAGATGCACATTGGAGATGCGTAAAATAAACTTTGAGAAAGCATCCTTCTACAGAGGGCTTCTAAGTCTAAGTATATTCCAGTTGTTGAACGAACCAATTCAGCAGCTTGAATCAAAACAAGAACACAGCTTGGGAGCATGGACATCCATCTTGGGGGCCAGGCCAGGATGTTGTCTCTACCTGAGCACTGCTGTGATTTCTGTTGCACAGGATTCAGAGCAATCAGGTCATCAAAAATAGGTGTGGGACAATATTTGGATTGTTTGGGATATGGATTTGCCCGTTTCAATGGCAAATCAATGGTATCAGGAATTCCCAAGATATGATTGTTCACCATCATGTACCAACAGTCGGGTTTGACATGATTAGACTTCCAAGTCACAACGGCAGGTATTAGCACTGTGCCAGGTGGGGGGAACTACCTGGACTGTGACCAGCAAATCTTCCATTTCCCATCCCTCAACACAGGCAAGTAGCCTCCGCGGTCCAATGCAAGCACTTCTTGTAGGACAGCTTTCTCCTTTCGGAGTGGCACTGCTGACTCAAATACATTTCGTTCACCTCACGTACCACAGGATCTGATCCGTTCTTTCTTGGATGGCTGCCTCACCATGGACATGTTTCACAGGAAAGCTGCTTAAAGCTGCAGCGCGCCAGTTGTCGACATGCGGCAGTTCTCCACAATACTATCACACCGCAAGCTTTGATAACTTGTGAGGGAATTCTCGCAGTCTCCTCTATTTCCAGCTCTGCCAAGCGCACAGTCTCTGCACCAGGACCTCCACAAAGCGGTTAACCCTTTTCCCAGACCATTCCAGATCCAAAATCTGAGGGCCTTCATCACTCTCACTTCCAGAATCTATGCTTCTCTCTATCTTCTATGCTTCTCTTGAAACAGTGATCGCTCCAACACCATGCCGCCTGCAGTCTCAGGCGCGGCTGGTACAGCTGGTGCGGCTGGCGAAGCCAGCGAGATTGGAGCCTCAAGCCTGAAGACCAGGGCCGCCCATCAACCCACTTGGATGAACTGGGCTGAACCAGAGTTCTTTCAATGCAAATCTCCTGCTAGAATCCAATCTAGCTCCAAGAAAAGTATAAATGAAATTGAATGCTCACCACAGAGGCTTGGCATCCCTGCGGCTGGGACCCTGGGAAGCCAAAAATCGGTGGCACCTGGCGCCAAAGAACATCCAAGACATCTGTGCATGCGCTTGTGCAACTGCTTTTTCAAACCCCCCCACACGCGCTTGTGGGCTTTTGCCAACCAGAGCACAAAAGGTACATGCGCCTGGTCTTATCGTCGGCGTTGGCATGCATCTAAACCCGGATATCTGAACCAACCGATGTCCCGTGGTCCGTATATAGAAGGTTTGTCTTACATACGGGGCAACATCAAGTGATCCAAGCAACTGTATTGCGTCACGCCTTAAATTGACGTTGATCAATTTCAATGCTAGTTCAAATCCTTAATTTGTACTGTAAATTGGTGTCCTGATACGAGTATCATGCCAGCTTTCCTGATGCTTGGCCATTCCTGTTGACCAACTTGTGGACACTCTTGCAGGAGCGACAATGTGGTGGAAATCAGTAGCTGCCGTGGTACATGTTTGTTGAAGGAGTGCTTTTGTACTTGCGTGCTTCTAGGTCATCAGGCAGATCTTTGCACAAGAAAATCGAGCACCACCCACCTTCGCAGCAGAAGGCATTTGGAACGGTTGCTGTATGACCTCTCGATGATATGGATCTGCCACGAGGGAATTTCTTGCAAAGACCCTGAAAACAGCACAATACAGTCAAATCATGTCGCATTTCCATCATCTGCACATTCTGCACAAAGAAATCTACGTGTTGAGGTTCTTGGCTCTCCCTTCGACTCTTGTCACATATTTCAAGCGTCATATTTCCGGTTGCATTCACCTAACCCACATGCCTCAGGCTCAGTCTTGACACCTGGCGCAGATCTGCGATATTCGTTGACTCTTGATCACATTCTGACGGCATCATAGCCAAACGACGTGGCATGAAGGAAGATTGAATGAAGATCTAAGTGGAAGGAACACTCCTAGCGCCGTCAGTGCAAAATATATCCATGCGACCTAGATCCAGCACATGAAAAACGTTAAGTTCGCTGCAAGAAGTGGACTATTTGTTCTTTTGCCGTATGCCAAATTAGAGTGACGCCAGGAGTCAAAAGAATTGAACTCTGCCGCTCAAGAGTTTTGGCACAACATTATTGCAACCTGCATGATTCAGCAATCGAACCCCGTGTCCGTTTGCTTTCCTCAATGATCAGTTGCAGTCTTCTACAACTATGTCTCTGTCCCCCTATCCTTGTGTCAAAGTTGAAAGACGCCAAAGTTCACGAGAAAGAGCCAGGCGCTCATGAGCTTGACTTCAATTTTGCAGCATCCCTTGTCTTGCTGAATTCTTTCCAGCAAGCTCTCTACCAGAGTCTGCTGCATTACCAAGACTGCACAATAGTCAAGAAGCATGAAAATGACTCCGCGTGTCTCTCTTGAACTTGGCAATGTCAAACGGCACAAAGCATAGACTGAATAGACTGATTTGGGCCCAACAAGAAATGGCAAACATCAAGCTAGGTCAATTTACATAAGGAAGCAATGCAAGGCAGAAAAGAAGACAACAAGCACATGCACACACAACACACTGGAACATGGCTGCTGCCATACATCTTTGGATCCGCAATATGCCAAATTAGAGTGACGCCAGGAGTCA